GTACGATGTATAGCCATTTTATATTTAAGATTCTCCATGGTCGTGTGTCGCACTACTGCTTGGGGTTGATTCTCACTGAGCTGAACAGGGTGAGGGACTTGGCTGACGAAGTGTATGCTCGGTGTGGGTGTACTATTTCAGTAACTCATGGATTACCTTGCGCATGCACCATTCACCGCGTTATTACAGAAGAAAGGGCGTCGTTACATGTTGATCAGGTCCATTCATTCTGGAGGACGCTTGTTATTGGTGAGCATGCAGACAATCAAACGGCCGACCGTGAACAGGAGGAGTTGGAGCAGTTCCGTTCGATGTACGACCGAGTGTCCTCCAGCCATCCTTCTATTATTCGTGACGCTACTCATGTACTTCATGACATGTTCCACCCGTCTAACTTAGATTATGAGGAACCCGAAGGAGTTGACCGTCCTCGAGGTCGACAACTGCGGAACAGGAGTGCGTTTTTATTGCACATAGTTTTAAAGTGTTACTCCTGCCTTCTTAACTGTCTATAATTATATGGTGAATAGGAAGAAACGATGTTGATCAGTTTCCGTACAAGGAAAGGATACCTGCGATCATCATGTCGTACTTGGAAGGGTGGAATGATGTAATCGGAGATGGTAACTGCGGATTCCGGGTCGTGGCTGATGTTTTTCAAATGGGCGAAGACAACTACGGTTTGGTGCGTGAGTTGATGTACAGCGAAATTGCCTCTAACCGAAATGTTTATCGTCATGTGTACCAGGATGACTTGGATGGCGCTCTGCGGCGTATCCGGTGGGGAGGTGGACCTTGCGGCGAAAATCATTATTTTGACGCGCCCCTAGATCTGTTTGCCGTTGCAAACATTTACAAATGCGCAGTCATGCATTTCGGCCTGGGAGTGCATAGTCAAGCTTATTATCCTTGTACCACGGTTCTCCCTTGGCGGTCGCGTGAGACTGTCACCACACCGGTCAGAGAGCTAGCTATTGCGTTTCTTGGGTCGTCATACAGACATTTCATCCGACTTGACATGTCAACCGATTTTCCAGTGCCACCGATTATACCTAGGTGGTACAACATTCGCACAGCGAGCGTAGAGGGTTGGGATGCGCTATATCATGACCGGATCCACGAATGGAACACCCTAGCTGCATTTTAGTTTTTCATTTTTACATTCTTTATTTGTAATCTTATTTGTACGTTGCTCTTTTAATGAGAACATTAATATTTTATATTGTATTGCTTACTGCATTCTATATGTTGCATGGGTAAGTTGCGCGGATCCACGAACGGTTATATCAAAATTTAAAAACAGCACTGATAATATGTTTAAGTTGGAAGCTAAAAGAACAATCTAAAATGTTACAATTTTACAACATAATGTCCAACATAATGCTCTATAAATAAAATACAATAACCATCAGTATTCCCTCCTCGACGACGACTCCCACTGCGCAAGGGTCTGTTCCAGACTATCAACAACAGCTCTCCCTGTTGCACTCATGCTGTCCTTCTCAAGAGAGAGTTTCTGTACGTCCTGCATTATCTTTCCCATCCACTGCATACAACAAAAAACAGAAGATGAAATACAATAACAACATATAAATCTTAATTAAAAGACAACGATAAATATAATAAAAGACATACCGCTTCCGTGGCAGTAGGCGGTGGCACATAATCATCATCGCTGGGGTCGAGATCTGCGATCAACCTCGGGTGCGAATACCGGTTGAACCATTCCATGTAGTAATGGTCACACATGAGAGTAACCCCAGAGGGCGGCCGCTGCAACTCCGCAGTCCATAAGCGGGCCACCATCGGAAACTGGTCCCACGTCCCGGTCATGATATCCGGCCATTTCACGACGTAGTCCCTCGACGATGCAGGTCGGACCGCCTTCATCGGGCATGCCGGGGGAGGAGGGACAACTTGGACAAATCCAAGCTGGCGAAGACAACGCTGGGGCATGTACGCCTCGACGATCTCACGATACTGAATGAGTCCCGTGTACAGGGTCCTGGGTACCCTAACACTAGGGTTCGGGCCGAAAGGCATCCAGTTCACCTGTACAATAACAACATATAAAATTTAATAACATGAATATAATATGTGCAAATAATAAAATGTAGACTCTATAAATAAACGTTACCTCTAAGGGGGACAGCCTGTCCAGCAATAACCGTATCGATCGGAGGCGGTCAATGGACTTCTTCTCCGAGCGCGGACTCCACGCACAAGCACGCGGCATCCCCTCATCAATAGGAACTGGGTCACGATGTGGTCGCAATGCAGGAAAGTACTCGTATATCTAGGTCTGCAATAGAGTCAGACACCCAGTGATACCTGCCGCGTCAGCCCGACTCGCAAATCCTAGTTGGCGATACAAATACGCCAACGTAGCCGATCCCCAGGAAAACTGACCTACACTGTCGGGGTCACACGCCTCTACTATGTCGCGTGGCCTGAGCTTGTTTCCGCCGCTCTTATCCGGAAACAAGGTACATCCGAGGAGTAGAAAAACATAAGCACTCAGCTGTGCGTCGGGCGTCCTACGTGCACTGGGGTACAAACACCGCTGCAACACGGATGCGATCTTCACACCTCCGTGTTCCCAAACACCTAGGGCCTCGGTGTACAGTGCAGCCCTGTCCACCGCCAACAACTCCGCCAGCGAATTTGCCTGATCCGCATCAGCCACAGCACAAAGTCGTTTACCCTCAACACGAATCCTCAGAATGGCCTCGACGTCATGTAACATGATCGTCATCTCACCGAACGGAAGGTGGAAAGAGTTTGTATCCGGCTGCCATCGCTCAATGAAAGCCGTGATCAGCGTACTGTCAATCTTATCGTGCATGGTGGCAGGAACGTGATTCACCCCAGTGCCCTCCAATCGCTCGAACATCTCGCTCTCCGCCGGCCAGGCCTCAGCCCATGTACGCAAAAAGCTACAAGTCTTTTCCCGGGTATGACATTTCAACAACCCCGTAACTGAAGGCCTCTCCTGGTCCTCCCAAATACGGGCAGCTATGTGTCCTAGAAAGCTAGGAATCACACTCCCGTGAACAGGCCCACCGGGCACCTCACTCCTAACAACCCAAGAATCATTACCGGCCCTCGACCGTTTCCTGCTTGCCCCAGATACAGTGGACGCAGATGATGTGCCAGATCTACTAACAAACCTACCACCCCTACCCTTACGCACCTCCACCATATGCGTCTCGTACATGTCATCAACCCTCTGACTGAATGGACCGTAATCATCATACGGTCCACTGCCATCGTCCACATCCTCATCCTCATCTGCGCCCTCCTCCTGCTCCTCCTCCTGGTCACCCTCCTCAGCATCATCATCGTCATCGTCATCCTCATCCCGACGGTGGATCCGTTCTCTACGAGCTGAGGCCGAAATACCACGGGATCTGACATGTCTATGCCCCGACCTCTCCACTGAATAAATTCTACTAAGAAGCTCTATATTCTTCCCCGCACCATGACGACCCAGTGAATTCTACACAAAATTTTAAAATATATAAACATACAAAAATTTATACGATAAATAATCATCATCGCAAATCAAATAAACTAAAAACATACAAATAATTGTAAACAAAATATAAACTTAGAAAAAATACAACGAAATTGAAAAAATTTATAAAAATAAACAACAAAATATAAAAACAATTCAAAAATATATTACACAAAAAAAAAAATTAAAAACAATTTTTTTTTTTTTAAAAAAAAAGGGGGGGGCGCCCTGGCTGGACGCCCAGCCAGCGGTGGTGGCGCCAGCTGCAGACGCCGCCACCAGTTGGCTGGCGCCTGGGCTGGACGCCACAGCTACGGCTGCGGCGCCTTGAATAAACGCCACAACCGTGGCTATGGCGTCCAGCCCAGGCGCCAGCCAACTGGTGGCGGCGTCTGCAGCTGGCGCCACCACCGCTGGCTGGGCGTCCAGCCAGGGCGCCCCACCGCCGTCACGGCGGTTTTTCCCTTTTTTTTTAACAAAATGTACCTTTCCTCCTTGGGACATCCTTTCCTCCGCCGCCGCCGCCAATTCCTTGCCTTGCCGCCTCGACATTGCCGTTATTTGAAATTTTTTTTTTTAGAGAGGTTGAAAGAAGATGAGAAATGAGAGTGTGAGTGTTTTTTTTTAAGGTCAAGGGCAATTTTGGCAAACCAAGTGAATTTTGTGGGCTTTATGTAGTAATTTGTGGGCGATGTTTAACAAATCCCTATTATAGATAGGGGGTCTCGTTGATGCTGCTAGTGGTAACAACAAACAATATCAAAGAGACCCCTTATTATAGATAGGGGGTCTGTTTGATGCTGCTAGTGGTAACAACAAACAATGTCAAAGAGACCCCTTATTAAGATAGAAGATCTCTTTGATGCTGCTATTGCTACAAAAGACTTTGTGTGTTTTTTTTATATATTAAAGAGACCTGTTATTTATATAAAAGGTCTCTTTGATGCTGCTATTGCATTTCACAATTTTTTTGCGTTACTTTCTTTTTCATTAAAGAGACCAGTTATATTTAATAACTGGTCTTTTAAGTTATTTATCTCACTTTTTTTTGTATAATTTTTTAATAATTTTTTCCCCCTTTTTATATCTTATATTTGTACAACCAATTTTAATATTTCCCCATAAAGCTTATCAATTAACTAAAAAATCATAAAGTTAATTCAATATAATAATTTTATTGTACCATTGGTTTATAACATGTTATTTGTAGTATTTTCGACTTGTAAAATTGAATTTTTAAGTACTGTATTTGGTTGTGATATGAATTTTTGTGTCCTATTTTTGGATTGAAATCAATTTTATATATGTATATATACATATATATGTATGTATATATACATATATATATATATATTATATATATAAGTTTTGGATTGAAATTAATTATGAACAAAACATGGAAAAAAAAAATTGTACTTTCACAAATGATCAATAATTGATGGTGACACACTATCTCGGAAATCCTGGATCCGCCACTGCTTACAAGGACTTGAGGAATTCCAGGCTTGGATGTAATAAAATCATGAACAGTACTCCCTTGTAAATTCTTAACGCTGATGAGCAACTCCTTCCTTGCACTTGAGTGTGCCGCAGCATGCCGTTCAAGGATCAAGGAAGCGAGATCGAAATCTTTATTCAATATAGCCCAATGTAATGGGGTATTCCCATCTTGATCTCGAGAGCATGTTAGGATATCATCAACTGGTTGTAGTTGTAGTATCTTTTTGCAAACATACATTGTATTATCCTTACTGTCTTGTGCTTTGTTAGTCATCCTCAGGCTCAAGTGGTCCAAAAAACTCTTTCCTTTCGAGTCTCGACATTCCATTGAAAGTGGGTGTTTAAGGAACAACCCATAAAGGAACAAGACCCGGCCATATTGGGCTGCCCTCATCAGAGGGTTAAATCCCTCGGAATCAAGTTCAAATATGCAAAAAAAATTCGCTTCAACTAATTTAAATACAAGTGCTTGCTTATTGGAAATTTCACTGCTGCCTTCGTTGATCACTTCTTTGTTGGTTAGGAAATCATCGTCTGTAAACATAACTGTTGAGTGTGAGTATGAGTATGAGAGCCTGAGAGCCCCTGTTTCATCGTCATTTCAAGCCCAAGGGCCTCTCACATAAGGTATTATTCCCAGGTCTCAACCAAAAGCTTAAGCTGATGTTTGAGGCCCGAGAATATACTCAATCAAATGACTTTAAAAAAAATGGAGCAATTACCTGGACAACACCGAACATAAAGATGCAGAGGAGTCTCCTTGTGCAGATTGGTCTTCATGACCAGGATCTCCGGGTGGTCTTTAATTACATATGAAAACAACTCTTGGGCTATAGCCATGTTACGGTATCGAAATGCGACATGGAACGGGGTGTCACCATCGTGATTCACCTCCAACAAATGCGACACAGGAGTGGTACTACTGCTATTATTCTGAAGCAGGGAAATGAGGAGTTGCACAGTCTCCTCAGTTCCGAAAGCAGCAGCCTCGTGAAGAGGGGTGTTGTCCAAATTGTTCTTCTGTCGGAGAAGAACAGGGAATAAGCTAACCGCTTTCTTGACAACCTCCAACTGCCCGTGTCGAGCTGCGATGTGGACAATGCTGTTGCCAGCATCAGGTGTTTTGAACCACAACATTTCGTTCTCATATATGGCAACAAAGTCTTCATTCATATCGCCTTTCACTGCTGCTTTGAATAAGGTGTATTGAACATCTCCCATTGATTTGCCAAATTCCAGTGTCGATTTTTGGGTATTAAGTTTGTCCACACTATTAGGATCGGAGGTGAGTTTGCAACTCAGAAATAAGGTGAGTTTCGGCCTCTTGTCAAAAATGACAATGGAAGGCTTGCCTCATAGACTCTTGTCATGGGACCCTTCTATGGACCCTCGTGTTGCAGGTGGGATCCTCTAAAGTTCAAGGGCCGTTGTATATACTATCTCCGTAAACGGTTATAAAGCAGACGCTTTCTATTATGTGCAATAAATGTTTTTTTTCCTCTTTTAGTAAGTTTTTCTATAAAAAATTACCAAACTGCCCTTACTTAAACAACTTACTCCCTTAATCATTTCACTAACCATACTCTATTATAACCCTAACTTAACTCATCTAATCTTCAAAAAAAACAAAAACAAAAAAACAAAAACCAAATCTCCATTCATGTTGTTCATCAAATTTCTCACTCCTCCTTCATCATCAAATTTCTCACTCCTCCTTCATCATCATATTCGATCCCTTCGTTTATTTTAAATTTTATTCACTTTTGAATTTTTTTGCCTCTTTAAAATTTTACTCCCTTTCACCCCAAATATCATGGTTAAGATAATATTATAAAAAATACTTCTTCAGTTTTTAAAAAGTTGTAATAAATAATTTTTGATATGGAGTACTCTGTATTTCAAAAAAAAATTCCTCTGTTGTTTATTAGATGTTACAGTTTTTTAATTGCAGACTCTTATATAATTTAAGGGTATAAAAGAGATAGGGAGAAAAAATTAAATGCAATCCATGCAATTGGAGAGAGATAAAAAGAAGAATATACTAGTACAGTGTAACATCTACTTCATATGTGCTTAAATAAACGGAGGAAGTGTATTGTTGTTAGCTTTAGGTACTTTTGGCTTTTTCTTTGCTTTATTTATGTATAATTCCTTGCTTGTAATGGATGGTTTGAACTTTGAACTCTTTGAAGATTTCTACTAGTATCGTCTTTCCCTTTAATAAGGGGAAAAAAAGCACTGTGTGAGGGGACCAAAGGTATTCTCGATAATTGAAACTATTTTTAAAGGGTAACAGATGTTCATCAATCTTTTTTTTTTTTTTTTGATGTTCATCAATCTAAACTACAGTAATTCCTTCGTTTCATAATACTGACTACACTTTTTTCTTTTGGTATGTTTCATTACTCGCTACACTCCATATTTTTTTTAGTCTAGTTAGTTTTTGAGTGTGAAGTTAACATTTTACCCTTACTAAGAGAATAAATACCTCACATGAGACTCAATATATCACTTAATTACTTACCCTTATATCCATTTAATCATCCCACTCAAATTGCTCCTAGGCGCCCGTTCCGACTACAAGTGTAGCCATTATTGTGAAACGGAAATAAAAGTTATGTTAAATTGTGGACCCGAAATCTAGTAGGGCTGACTTTTAATGCTTATATCTCTCAAACTACAACTGATTTTGAGATAATTCAAGTTGGAGGTGATAGCTTGGTTCAAGATCTTTCCAACGATAGGTCATATGTCCAATTCCGATAAGAAACGAGAAAGTTATGACCGTTTTACAAAAACCTGACGAAGCTGGAAATTTGCAACGAGGCTGCGAGCTATAGCTCTATGCGAGTGAGCTACAGCTCGGCCCTATGAGGACTTGCGGCAGGCATGAGCTAGTTGCCGAGCTATAGCTCGGTAGTTAGGTTATTCTAGGATAATTGATGGAATATTTCCTAAAATTATATCTTTTCTATGACGGCTATTTGAATATACTTGGGGAACAATCTTAGGGTTTTATTAGGGTTTCCTTGTGTTATAAAATGACCCTTTAGTTGATCAATTAGATCATACCTTATTGAGCCATTAGATTTAAGACTCCTTGTATTATTCTCTCGTTCTTTCTCCATTATATTGAAGAAGCTCTCGAATCCCCCACCTGTGGACGTAGGTCTATTTTGACCGAACCACGTAAATCCTTGTGTTCTTTGTTTATCTTCTTTATTGTTTTTTATCTCGTTCTTAATTTCATTGACTTGTTCCGCATTAATCATACACAATTACACCCTAATTTCCTAACAAGTGGTATCAGAGCCAAGGTTTTAAGGTCTTAAGGTTTAGGTGTTTATAGGTTAGTTTGATTAAATTATGCCAATGAAATTTGATATTGAGAAGTTCGATAGGCAAGTGAACTTTGTCCTATGGCAATTGAAGATGAAAGCCATCTTGGTTCAAAGTGGTTGTCACAAGGCTCTTGAAGGTGTATCCAACAAGCCTTCGGGCATGACGGTGGATACGTGGGAGGAGATCGATTTGAAGGCTCTTTCGGCAATTCAATTATGTCTCTCTGATGATGTTTTGAGAGAGGTTGCCAAGGAGACAACTTCTGCGGGTTTGTGATTGAAGTTGGAGTCACTTTATATGACAAAGAGCGTGACCAACCGTCTACTACTCAAATCTAGACTTCATGACCTTCGTCTAGAAGAAGGTAAACCGCTTAAGTCTTATTTAGATGAATTCTTCTCTATTATTATGGATTTGCAAAACATCGATGTTGAGATCGATGATGAGGATATGGCTATTAGGTTGTTGTGTTCTTTACCGCCTACATATAAGCATTTTTGAGATACTTTATTGTATGGTAGAGATGATTTGAGTTTGGAGGATGTTAAGGATGCCTTAACTCAAAGAGATTTAATTGACAATAAATTGGTTAATAAATCTGATAATCCGGCTCAAAATAATGCTTTAGTTGCTCATGGTGGTAATAAGAATTTTGGTAAAGGAAAAGTTTGTAACTATTGTCATGTGAAGGGTCATATCAAAACCGAGTGTTGGAAATTAAAGAAGAAGAATGAGGAGAAGTCCAATGAGGACAAATCCGCAAATATGGCCAACAACGATGATGATTATGATTATGCACTTTAGGGTTACGAGCTTTGGGGTTGCGGTTTCTACGATCTCTTCATGATAAGTTCCCCTTTGAGATCTCTTGGTAAAACGAGAAACCGTGTGGATTTTCGGTATGGAGTCTATGATAGATTGCTTTTGATTTTCGTTTGCAATAAAGTACCAATCTTGGTTAGGCATTAGATTTTGTTCTAGTTATGCTATTTCTTATCTCAATTTTGGTACTTTTGTGATTTACTAAGTACAATTGCAATTTAGAAATTCTTGATGTAATATTTATTTTTCTAGAATTGCTTAAGTTTTTTTTTTAGTTTGATTTTTGAGATGAAGAAGTGTTTGAAGAGAGTTTTGTCAATTTTTATAAGCATGCTTGGCGTCGGGACATTATACTCTCAATCTAGGCCATGTGATGGTTTTGTGTACGGAATTTTGTGTTCGGAGACGCACCGGTTCACAAGTTATGGAAGATGTCCGTTTGGTGATAGCCTAATGTGAGTAGGCTTATGGATTTTTGTTTAAGGTGGAGGCTTTATGTTTTATTATGAGCATTACTTCTTGGTTTTTGGTTCAAGGTGGAGTTACCTTGTTTTTTGGTCGATTTCAAGTCAAGGTGGAGATTGTTAAATTGTGACTCGAAATCTAGTAGGGCTGACTTTGAACGCTTATATCTCTCAAAATACAACTGATTTTGAGATGATTAAAGTTGTAGGTGATAGCTTGGATCAAGAGCTTTACAACGATAGGTTATATGCCCAATTCCGATAAGAAACGAGAAAGTTATGACCGTTTTACAAAAACCTGACGAAACTGGAAATTTGCAACGAGGCTGCGAGCTATAGCTCTATGCGACTGAGCTATAGCTCGGCCCTATGAGGACTTGCGGCAGGCATGAGCTAGTTTCCGAGCTATAGCTCGGTAGTTAGGTTATTCTAGGATAATTGATGGAATATTTCCTAAAATTATATCTTTTCTATGACGGCTATTTGAATATATTTGGGGAACAATCTTAGGGTTTTATTAGGGTTTCCTTGTGTTATAAAAGGACCCTTTAGTTGATCAATTAGATCATACCTTATTGAGCCATTAGATTTAAGACTCCTTGTATTATTCTCTCGTTCTTTCTCCATTATATTGAAGAAGCTCTCGAATCCCCCACCCGTGGATGTAGGTCTATTTTGACCGAACCACGTAAATCCTTGTGTTCTTTGTTTATCTTCTTTATTGTTTTTTTTCTCGTTCTTAATTTCATTGACTTGTTCCGCATTAATCAAACACAATTACACCCTAATTTCCTAACAAGTTAGAAGTGTCACATGGCGCACTCTAATTAAAAATTTTCCCTCTAATTTTCTTTATCGAATATAGATATATAATCATAATAATATACTAGTAAGTTTTAAAACATTTTGCAATATCAATGCATGATCACTTAAAAAATAACAATATCAATCATTTCAATTAAACAAATTAATCAAAACCTCTCTACTGTAAGCAAAATTATTGACGCAAACATATGTTTGTAGCTCAAAACAAATATATCTTAGTTTTTTTTTTAGTTATTACAATATAATATTATCAGATTGTTATAAAATAAGGTGAAAATATAAGAGATAGAGATAATTAATCTGTGTGTTCTACTTGTCTTTCATATAGTGGAGGTATAGATATATATAGATACAATACAATTGATAGGGTTTGCTGGAAGAATAATAAGCCCTAAAATCTAGAAAGTTCTGGAATGATACAAGAGTATAATGGGCATCCACAAATATATATTTCATAACACTCCCCCTTGAATGTCCATTATCTAAGAATGTGCCTCGTTAAAACCTTATTAGGAAAAACCTATGGGATAAAAACCTAATGAAGGAAAAAGAGTACAACATTCTTCGTAATACGCTTGGGATGCTGCCTCGTTAAAAACCTTACCAGGAAAACCCAATGTGGAACAAAACCATTTAAGGGAAAAAGAGTGCAGCGCGTATTTGCTCTCCCCGATGAATGCATAACGTATTAACGTGAAATCTTCCAGTGCAATAAATCTCATGCGATATGGTTGGGTAACTTCTTCCATGTAGCTAAACACCATTTCTTGATGATTGATCCTTTCATATTGAACTTGAATCTTCAAATCTTCACATGGACTTATTGAGGCGTTTTCATTTCTTCATACTTGTGGAAATAATACAAGTGTTTACCACTATTTCATTCGATAGTTTGTTTCGAATTATCATAACAATTAGATGTATGCCTTCTTCTGGAGGTCATATATACTACAAAGTGATGATCAATAATTGATCACATTATCCAAACATAATTGCATGGAAACACTTGATATCATTATATATATATATTTTATTTTCCAGTATCATATGAATTAAGAATTTAAACTAATTACATATTTTGCTCATGGCTCTTCTGGACCATAAGAATACTATTCTCACTCAATGCACTAGTAGAAAATACATAATGGCAAGCGGTTCAAACCCTCTAATGGCAAGCGGGGAACCGCATGCCATTAGGGGGCTTGCCAATTGGCCTTTAAAATGGCAAGCGGTTCAGAACCGCTTGCCAATTGTAAAGAAAGGGCAGCGGTTTTGGCGCCAAACCGCTACCCATTAGGGGTATTAAAAATTAAAAAAAAATTGGGTTTCTTTCAATTAAATTGATACA